TTTATAATAAAGGATAAGCTTAACATAGCGATAAGTCTAATATGAAAATACAATTGAATTACAGACTTTGACTTGCCAAAAAAACAAAAACACAGAGATAATGCAACAGCGTATAAGCCAAACTATAGTAGAATCAGAATTGGAATTCCAAATCCATGTTAGTTGAAAAATAAAAACTCACCAAACGATCAAAGTGGAATTCGTTTTCTTAGGATGTGACAATTTCCATGAAAATGTGGCAATCAAACAGAGCCTTAGTTGAATTAAGATTAAACTCTAAAATCAAATTTCAGGTTTTCAGAAGAAAAGTTAAATTTTAATTAAGATAAAACTCTTAGACCAACGAAGAAGTTACGTCATGTACAAAACAAGTTGCACGTTGAGAAATAAACTTGATTAGATAGTTAATTGTTTGTCTCGCGTTTGTTAATTAAGTGAGTCCAATAGTTTATGCTCTAAAATCGTCTTGGTTGTAGAATAAGCTATTATTTATAATTGTCTACTAGCAGTCGAGTATTCAATGAATGTTAGTAAGTAATCGAACAATGCATTCAATAAAGTTGTTGGAAGATTATGTGAAAGGAGTTCATTAAGCACCATAAATATAGATGTTCTCTTGTGTTTTTGTAACAAGCTAAGTAGTCAATTAAGTGATTATTTGAAATAAGCTGTTTGTTCTAACCTCTTCCGCTACTCAAAGACATTCTGCGAAAATAGTAACCAATATTGTCGTCTTCCTAACAAAATAGTATCAGAGGCACAATAGTCTTCGAAGAATATAGCTAATGGCATGGTTCTTTTGAAGTTAATCACTTAACAAGAGTAACTATGACAAATGGAGCTTTAAAATCAAGGTGTTGCTCGGGTCACAAGACCTATGGAAGATCATAGAGAAGGGATACAATGAGCCAAGAGAAATGTGAGTAAGAATGAATTCAACTAAAAAGTAACACTTACGGGTATTTCTTCCTCTATTGACAAGATATGTTGCAGTTAGTACACGCTCTCCCAAAAATAGATGAGAAGATTTGATTGAAATCAAAAAGCATGTAAAACATTAATACCTTGTTTGGGGGAGATTAAAATAAGATTTTTAGTACATTTTGATAAAAATTAATGAAATGTATAGTTGAAAAATTGTGGGTCTTATAAAATGTGTGGTTAAAATTAATTGTGACTTTGACTTAGATTAAAATTGAACTAATTCATTGTTGAAATTCAGTCAACGACACTCCAAAAAAGAGGTTAAAATGGGTAGACAATTGAGGCTTGCTCTTGCTGATTTTGCTGAGGATTTCTAAGGCCCTGTTTGGTACACATT